TGTGTAAATATGACTACCCATTTGATTTTTCATGTCATTATATGTCCACCTCAGATTCTGGATTAATATTTTTGTTCAAAATCCCTTCTGATATAATCCTATAATCATTCATTGGGAATAATTCGTTCTCAAGGTAGTCTTCATCACATGAAAAATCATCCCAAAACATTGAATATCAAACAGCCATTTCAAAGTAATTTCGGAATTTCAACAGTGTGGATTTACAACTCCAATTATGAAATAAACTCCATAATCGTAGAGCTTTGTGATCAGTACTTTTATACCGTCTCTTATACCGTCAGGAACAAAATCGAAATCCATTAGGTCTAATTTTTCTAATTATTCTAAGTTTCCAGTTGATCATTCTGATTACAATGCAAAAGTCAACCAAACTTTTCAAGTTGTACACGATTTATCTATGAAATTTAATCAAATACGTTTTCATCCTTTCGAGTGTCAAAGTTTCCTAACCCTAAAAAGGAAGACTTTTCAGTACGTACTGATTTGTTTATTGGGCATATCACACACAATGAAACGGTAGTATTTACTGGAAAAAATTTTGAACATAATTCATTGTACAAACTGCCATAACGTCCAAGTTTTACACACGTATTATTTTGAAAACTTCCATTATTTATTGCTTCTAGGAATGTAAGTGGTTAGTAGGCGTCGCCACTTGAGAATCAGATAGATAAATGCAGATATCTTATTGCCACACGTTGATTTAATATTACAGATAATTTTCCAGCTGATTAAACATAAAAACTCAAAAATCTATTTTCATTTTGAGATTTCGTTTTTTGCGGTACCTTAGGTCATCATATTTATAAACAAAACTAGTTTACTACTTAAATTAAATTAGTAGTATATAATTTTTAAAGTATTTATTGCGTTGTTTCAAACAACTAATTAGAGATAAAAAGAAAAATAATTTTAAAAAGCGGAAGTTTTGTTGATTCAAACTAGTTCCCCACAAAATAATGTAGAATTCCATTTTTATGATTCATTGTTCAACAGAATAGTGCACAAGTTATCATAACCATTTATTTTGGAGTTTGAACAAAATATTTTCTTTGGTTTAAAAAGTATCCCTTTTAATTCATTGCAAACTCTAGACCCTAATTTCTCTATGTATCTCAAACCGACAGTAGATGACTTCATCCATCAATGACATGTTTTGATCTGATTACCTCTAACTCTTCGCCAAATTAATCATATTTCAATTATCACTGGTTGCTATCAGCGACCTGCTTAAAACTTGGGCGACCAAAAATCTCCACCATTACATTGCATTTAATTTTCACCTGTTCACTTTGTTTTAATCGACTAAAATATGACCTCTAGTGGTATTATATACTCTCGTGAGTGTTTAAAGTGTTAACAGCCTGTTGATTCGTAAGTTTATACTAAACCTTAGGTAAAGAGTCATCGTGGTTGTAGCAGTGTATCCCAATACATGTGATAACTGTTCCTGAGTGATGTCCTTGGGTTTCAGTATGTACTCCTGAACTTTTTACAACTGGCTTTCAGCCAGATTTTGTGCATTTCTCGAAGGAGACAAAGAAATATCACAAGGGATTGGTTTGTGCTTCAGATCAGATAGCATTGTGTCACGCCATCTACTGTCAGCTTATATTTTATTTGAAGATACAGTATGAAGAGAAAATATCGTGCAATAAATTCTGCTGAAAATTCTGTACCTTATATAAAGACTGTCCAGAATAAAGCCATAATTATAATATTATTATTGCTATGGAAGGCGACACCTTCGTATGAGTAGCAGTTTTCCTAGTCACCTCAACTAGCGATACAACCTTGTCTACTGACTCTTCTTCTTTTCTCAACTCCAGTATTTCTTATCTTGTCGTTCCACGTAACGTAATCAATCAAGAACTCACAAGTATGATCAAAAACACCCAAACTTTTTATATCTTTTACTTTTAGCTGTCACATCTTACAATCTTAATGTGGGACGAATAGAACTTCTGTGCAGCCTAACTTTTGATGGGCGTTATGATATCACGCTTGCCACTAAAGCGACACATGTTGATGGACGCCAGATGTGACATTATTCTCAATAAAACTAATATATTTTAAACCCCCACCTCCCTGTCACTGGTTTATGGAGGTATTTCACGGTCACAGCCTAACCAAGAAAGCTTTAGATGTTGCTACTATTTTTCTGCATCAACTGAGACAACATATAAGTATCCTGAGGCATCGACTACCTAGATATCACTATAAGCAAGTGTATGTTCCTCAAATAATACAGGAATTCACACATGTCCTCATTCGGTACGCTAGTCTTAAAAAACATTGCATCTACTTTCCATCAGTCCTTTTAAGTTGACACAGAGAATAGGAAATATTATAACTGTTAAAAGTACTGGGAGGAATGAAAATTTAAGCATTGATCTCGTAAATTCAGCTTTCATAGAATCAACGGTAATCAACTATTTGGCTAAATCACAAATGCTCTGAAAAGCGACAATGGCAGTACAGCTCTAAAGTCAGGTACAACCGGAATTGCTTACATAGACAGAAGTAATAGATCAGACAGACATGTACAGTAGAGTTAAAGATTCATAGTGTTAATTCGTTTCTCACCTATTCTTTGTTTCTGTTTCCCATGAGAGGGTAAGACCCATTGGCTTAAGACAATTGGTTATATGGCTCAAAATAATTCACAGTGGCGCAGGTGTATCCACTCCTTGTGACTTATAATATGCAATAAAACTATATTGTCCTTCCATATTACTATTCTTTTCGCCTCATATTTCTGTTTATTATCTCTCTCTTTTGAAGCTTACTTTAATCTCTCTCTTGCTTTGTGTGCTACAAGGGGGGGGGGTGTTGCAACTCGAACAGCTGCACATCTGTGTGAAGTTCTACGTTGAAACCAGTCAGTCAGTCAGTTTTCCTGTGTTTAATAATACGCTACTACTTATCACTAGTAAGTAGTATGAGTTCATATTTTTTAACTACATTGTTACTCCGTAACCATAACTGTCATTTACTATTGAAATTTATCTCATTTAATGCATTAAGATTGTATTCTATCTATGGTAATTATTTTCTCGTCTACATGCTTTGTTTATAATGCAGTCTAAGTTGAATACTGTTTATTGAAATCCCTTTTAACTCTTTGTCTGGACATTCGCGCTCTGTTTAATCTGACCGCAGATCGTCTTTGACACAGTTTCGCTGCGGTTTTTATTGATCCACAGTGATAATGCATTTAAAGGTATTCAGTCAACCGCAGACACCACAAAATTTGAGGTTTGGATCTTATATTCATTATTTTATGCATAATATAGTACCGTGTTTTTGGATTTTAAATGTAACTCAAACTTTTGTTTCAATTAATCGATCACAATTATCGCTCCAGATTTCTTAGAAGAAATGTACACATAGCGATCTTCTAATTCTAGCTAATTTGAGTTTATGATTATTAGTATTATTCATCTAAGACTTCTACTGCCATTTTTCACATAAATTTTATCAGTTTTGGCTAGACTGTCTTCACAGAATTTGTTCTTAACCTTTTTAAATATTTATGCAGGTACCACAGTCTACCGAATCTTCTCCATATTATGTAATTATTTATTTTACTCCACATGAAAATATCAGTAGTTCTATAGTTCTTCATATGAACTGTGATCTATGGTTCTGCTTTGACTCCTAACCATAGAATTCACTGTTATTATTATTATTATTGTATCCTTTAATTCCTACAGGAACATAGGGCTTCAGCCGTGCGTCTCCATTGCGTTCTGTTCTCTGCTAGAGTCTTCAACTGGCTCCATGTCTGCCCACACGTCTTTATCTCCTCTTCACATGACCTCCTCCATGTCACCCTTGCAATGACGACTAACTCGCTGCTTCCCTTTCGGGTTCCACCCGAGCAATGGCTTGTCTAGTGATGTCACTTGATGGTTTCCTAAGAGTATGGCCAATCCATCTCCATTTCTTCCTGCCTATTTGTTTCACAATCGGTTCTTGGTTGGTTCGCTCCCAGAGGTCCCTCCCTGTTGCTGATCTTTTCTGGCCATCTGATCTTGAGTATTGAGAGAAGACAACTGTTAATGAAGGTCTGTAGTTTGTTTGAGATGCTCTTTATGACGCGCAGTGCAAGTCTCTGATCCGTAAAGTAGCACTGACTTCAAATTGGAGTTGAAAATCCGGATCTTATTTTTGATGCTGAGTGTTGTTGACCCCCACACAGACTTGAGAGTAGTGAAAGCTTGTCTTGCTTTTCCGATTCTTGCTTTGATATTCTCGTCAGTTCCGTCGGCCTGTAGTTGAAACGATGCTTCCCAGTCCCACTCCCTTACCTAAATCTAAGTTACTTTACTTTCCACTAGCAACATATATAAGGATGTTTAAAGAAAACTTGGGTAGGATATGTATTGAAACTCTCTCTGAATATAAGCAGACAACCACAGTTTATCCTTGCTTCACTTGGATATAAAAAACTACTACTTCGAAGGAAGTGTCTTTCGATAACATCATAGCCAGGTTCTGGAACATGCGGATAGAAAATGAAAATGTAATTTAACTGACGACGTAGATTATTGCAGATATATACAGATTGCTCGCGGTTCGAATTCGCTGGAAAGATGGATTTTGACTTTTTTCAAAACCATCTTTATGTAACAAAGAAGTTCCTCAGGTAACGCTTTTCTTCGATATGTAGTTGTTAAAGGAACCGGTTACTTACAGACCAAACATTCAAACAATAATTCTGTGTTTCATTGGTGACTGGCTTGAAAGCTAACTTAACAAAGTCTTCAAGATAAACCACCATCCCTGTGATTATCTGTGTGAACTAGGAGGATGAGTCATGATAGACATATATCACAAATTCATACACAAGCGTAAAATGTGGATCGCTGGAGACCAGTCTGGTGGTAATTCACCTATCTAACAGTGATGCTCACTAACTGTCCCACCTGAATTTTTATGATCATTTAATATGGAGATCAAACCAGAAGTTAAAATGAATTGACAATTGTCTTTATTAGTATATAATTTTTACTTTTTAACATAGGCATTTAACAATCAGTAAGATGGAAAAATCATGTGAAATCAAACTCCGCGAGTAATAATCATCAAGATAAATAACTATATTCTTGATCAACATTCTGAAAAGAAATCAGCATTGTTAAATCTGATCCGTACATTGATATAACGAATTATTTCATTGACATCTTTCTACGAAAAGTATTAGCATATGTTCTAGCCTGAGGACATTCTTTGTATGGATTCTTTTCAAGACCTTGCAATGAACAACTCATGAATGAAGGTACACACCCTCCACAATCGTTACAAAGTTTCCCCAATTTCACAACATCATTGTAAGAAGATGACATGGATCCCTGATCAAAATCTACATCAAAAAACAAACAAGAAAAAAGAAACGGAATAAACAAACGCAACAACTACTATTGATGTTTAGTCATTGTCTGAGATAAACTTGAACTGATGGGTCAATAATGAATTAATGGATGACAGTTAGCTGTGAAATAGAAGCCTGAAATGACTGGAACTAGCAGCCTTCAGATTACCATCCCGGAGCTCTATCAGCTCAGTTATCACGGATTTTACCGGACTGCCATGAAAACCTGTGATATGTAACTAGTCATTTAGTGTCATCACATTGACCACCGAACTTGTTCTTCTCCTGTCACTTTTAATCATAATGAATCGTTTTGTTTGACGAAATTATATCGCTAACAAAATGCTTATTTTTGACAGTATGGACTGATTACCTAATGTCTCATCCACAAACTTTGGAATTAGACCTTTAAAACTTCATGTTTCGACTTGATTTGCCTCATTCTACATTGGAAAATTAAATATTGAACAAGCGAAAATTTCAAGGATGATTACTGTTCACCGCTGAAGGTTTATCTCTGGAGATCCATTATTTTTTTTGTGCTTCTCAGGCAATGATTTCAGTCTCGTTTGTGACATGATAATAATTTTTAGAAATTAGCCCTCGGAACTATTTAGTTTTAAACACTCAAGAATAATCCTATTTGCCTAAAAGTTACTGTATTTCCATTCAGGTATGCTATATTCATCCCATTCGCTTAAGCAGTGACATTTCAGCTAGTGAGCCTTTGGTCTGAATCCAATCTCACGCACTTTATCCCGAAAAACTGGTTAGTATCATTAGCATACATAAAAATAAGTGTGATGCATAGTCCAAGACATGGAAAACTTGTTCCTGTTAAATGAGACCATCACCTCCGGCTTTCATCATTACTGTAGTCCTGTCCTAATCAGGAATCTTTTACGAGAATGGAATACTTAGCTACCACGTTAAGGTAAATACAAACATTTTAAAATTTGTGTACAGCAAGGCAAGTGAAGGTTAAATCTATATTTGTTTAGTTTTTGAACCCTTTAACTTCTATTCATTGAATAAAACTCTCATCTGAAGTGACTTTTTTTATAGACAACTGGTAGTCATATTCACTTAGTCCTGACTCACGCTTTCAGATCCCTTGGTACTTGCATCTACATCACACTACCTCGTCATTTGATATACTAATTTCTTCTAATCAACTCCATTAAGTTATCATCCCGTAGTTTCGCAACGAATATTCATACATCAAGAAACATATGACGAAGAAGGCCGAAAAGGACGACCCACTATCTATAAACAAGAAGCCCCTTTATATACGACTACAATTCAAGGGCGATAAACCAAGTGAGTTAATTACAAAGAAATTAAGAAAAGCAGTTCAAAGGACTTTTAATGCTGGCGAACTACACATCTTATTCTCTACAAGACCGATGGTGCTACCTCGACTGAAAGATGAAGTACCTAGACTGGCCACTTCAAATTGTATCTATCAATTCAACTGCGCTTGTGGAGCGAGTTATGTTGGCCGTTGCTCTAGGAACTTGATTTTTCGTGCTCACTCGAGAACATCTCCCACTATGGCTAAGTAAAGGTGTAGTTAAAAGTATTAACAGCCCGATATTAGACCATCTGGTGCAAACCGGTCACAAAGCCAACGTAGACGAATCCTTCTCCATAATATACCGGGTGCCTAACAAACTACCAAAATCGTCGAAGCACCGCTTACTCCAAACAGCAGAGGCTATTGCAATTCGCCTCAAACAACCAGCGCTCTGTGTCCAAAAGAAACAAGTTCAGCCCCTACTACTGCCCTGGCCCTCAGTAGAGGCTATAAACTCATGAATTTGTACCATTATCTTTCCTAATTCTTCTGACATTCAGTTTATTTGATGTTGATGCTGTTCAGCTGTAATCTATGAATATTATTGATTTGATGTTATTTAAACATTAATGTCGTTCATAAGACTAATTCATTCATTCATTATAATGTATATATAATTGTAGAACCTGATGATGAATTTATCGAAAAGAGTTCTCTTTGTTCAGTGTCTATTCTTTTGAAAATTTTAATGGGCATTTTTAATCAATTCATACATACATTTGAATATATGCAAAGCCTAAAAACGACTTCTAGATAGGCAGATGGCCTGAGAAATAACATACCAATCAATATCGAAGTTAACAAACGAAGATTTCCAATGACAACGATAAAATAATATATTTCAAACGTCTTAGGAATAACTATCGCATAAGTTTATACTACTGAATAAAAATAAGTAACATATATAACTCTCAGTAATTTTCTGACTGTCGTCATCTGGAGTTTATTTGTAGTAAATGCTGAAAAGAAACTGTAATTATTGCCTTAATCATTTTACAGCTGAACAGTTGATTATAGCATTTTGGGCTCACAGTATATTTTCCTGGATATTTTACTACTCACAGTGGTTTGACATACGGCTGAACTCTTCCTCATATTAACCTAAAAATAGTCTTCTCACACACGGAAATTAATCTATAATTCGTTAGTCAAGTGTTAACATTGTGCATTCTTAAGCTTATTATCATAAAATACTAACCTAAATGGTTATCGTTTGAAATTAAATTAATTTTGACAAAGTTTATGAAACTAGCCCGTGCGTCGGGGGCACAGTAGTTAGGACTCTCGCCGACCAAGCACATGGCACGGGGTTCGATTCCCCGCCGACGCACACCCGATATCTATGGTCGGCCTGCAAAATTTGGGCTACCGATATCCATGCTGAAAATTCCATACTTGTACTGAAAATACGGTGTGGCATCAAGCTGTAATCAAATTTAAAAAGATTTTTTAAAAAATTTAAAAAACGTTAATTTAAAAAATGTATATTCATCAAACGACTTACTAGAACAGCTTTTCGTAATCAACGTTGTAATATAACAGCGTCTAAATAAAAATTCTAGCTTTCTGGTACATTCTGAATACGTTAAAGAGTCAACTTGGAAGATAATAAGTAAAGCCATCAGGAGAATGATTTTTCCCTAAAATAGAAGTAATAATTTCAAAGTATGCATTAGTAATAGTATGGAAAATAAATAATTGAATTCAAGTATTGGTTTGTAGGGATTTGACTGATTGGTTACAGGGTGTGCACTACTGAAGAGTTCCAAACTAGGACGGAACAGCTGTGCAGTACTCCCAGGTCTTCCAGTGGTTCTCTAAACAATGTCAGCTCATGATGAAATCCTGTAACCAAATGATTGAATTCTTCTGTAGGAGAAATGACTAAGAAACTTAAAGAGATTAATCAGTATGGTTTTCGTTCCTACTTAGCCGAGTTTTTATAGTGCAGTTTATGAATAATTCATGGACCTACATATAACTGAACTCATGAAACATATGTGAAAAAGTTCAGGACCATTTTAAATGACGATTCTTTGTGAAGTAGTTTAAGAAACAGATGGATTATTCGAATATTTATAGCTACAGATAGCCAATGGTGCATACGCGTATACACTGGTTAATTGAAAAAGGTGTTTGTTAAGTATATCAGCCGTTTTCTCAAGTTATTATCCTCTTGAAATGTTTAGAAACTCCATGCTTCTCAGCAGTAGTGTAGTTGTTAGTTGGACTTTGGCAGAGGTGAATTATGACTGTGAAGTAGCACTCAAAGTGTCATTCACCTATTCGATTTATATTTGATGCCTTCATAATGTTCTGCAGAACAACGGCTGCGTAAACCGCTCGTGACACCTATTCCATTTGAGATGATGATGATAATACTAACCCTCAGTCAGTACCCACAGCATTGTTGATATCTGCTGTCAGCATTGTATTGGGCAGGGTTTATTGATGACTATATTTTACCTATAGTGATCACCTTTTTAGTTTCTACGTCTAGCATTTTGATAATATTGCTATATTACTATGTCCGATATTTATTGATCCACTAGGTTGTAGTGAATTCATTCTAAAATAAATAAATTAGTAAATAATAAACTGACTTTGTTTGTTACTGTTTTTTGTTAAGGTCACGTGAGTTAATATCATTATTTAACTATCCATGCATGGGTTTTATCAGCTGACCACCTAGTACTTCTATTTTGTAAAAATAAAATCAACTAAAATTCAATTTTTATTGACTAATGAGGTGAATTTAATGATAGCATACTGTCCTGTCTTGTAGAATTCAAATAGTATGGATACATGTAGATGTCATATGACTGTTTTTATCACTGGAATGTCAAATGAAGCCACTCTGGTTTATATCTATTCAGTCTTGTCGTTTACAAAAGTGAAAATCTTCTGACGAAGTAGTTTTTAAAATATACGTTGCATGTTTTACTTCCACTACGACCTGTTTTCTCTACGGATACAGTAATACCGCATCCATATCAGTGGATCATTTACGGTTGTATACCCAGTGCTAAATAGTATGTTTAAAGGTACATGATTACGTCTGCTAGCCACAGCTGAAACTACACTAATCAATGAGGAGAAATATGCATTCAACTCTTTTTTATTCTGACAGCTATAAGGTCATGGGTACGTAATCATGGCATATTTTCATGTTATTGATATAAGTATAAAAATTGGGCACTGTGGTAGAGTATAACTCCATTATAGATAAGATTTTTATTTTAATAAATCACACAGTGTTATACAGTAATATTAACTGATGACGTTTCGAGCACAAACTATTGCTCATAATCAAGTCAAATCACTCACACAACTTTTTACTTCATTTATAACATGAGTGAAATTAATTAGATATTTGAATAAAAATCAGTATCAGATAATGTGCATTCAGAAATAGTATTAGTGTTATCAATAAAATACAATAAGATGGAAATAGATGTTTTCATAGTAAAAATAAGTAACTAGTTAGAATGTTATAATGTGAATTGAATACATTTAAAATTATTTATTATCCTCTGATTTGACTGGTAATAATATCTTCCATATCTCTGGTATCTGCATTGAGTCATTTCTGTTACATGTGTTGGGTGTAAACTCGATGAACCAGGCAGGATTCAGTAATCAGTCTCTCTCTCCACCTACCTATATTAATTCTTAGAATTTTAACCCTCTCCCACCCTATTGTGTGGTTGCGTGTTGATGCATGCAGTGCGATTGCTGGGCTTTTTTCTAAATTATTTATCTTTTAGGGGTCAACCATTCTTACATTACCTAAATTCTTATGTTCTGATAATCTGACTACCCCCGACCTACTAGTTTGACCTATGTAGCTGACCTCATAGTCATTGCAAGGTATTTTGGTAAATTATATTATTTTTATGCCCTTCTTAATTCTTTTCACCTAGTTTATTTCGCACCACTATTATCATTATTAAATATCAAACTTTAGATTTACACTGAGCTTATATTGTGTCATTTATATGATTACAGTTCATTATTTGACCATTTTATTTTATGACTATATGTGTTGTTTGTCATCCGTCAAGCCTGCATTGAGCGTCTGTTTACATTTTTGTAGTATCCATATTTCTCCCACATCACATTGAAACATGTTTTGCTGATTACCAATACATTATTATGTCACTGATTAGTTAGTTATTCACATTTTATCTTTTTATCTTCTTAATGATTTTATGTTTTATTTGCATTCAATTAACAATCTTAACCAACGAACTATTATTCCATCTTATGCTTGTACCCGGATACAGTTTTTGATATAATTTTGATTTACCTTTGCTGGCTATTTGTATTCTAATATCCACGAATTTATAACTGTAGAACCCAGAAGAAGAAGAAGTTACTGAATACAATTGTTCACTCAAAACTTTTCCTTGTTCTGAATATATATACTATGGGGATATTTGAATCAATAAAATAAAACTAGAATGCAAGATGGGTAGAGTGTGTGATATGACACTCACCCATTTATCCGTTGGTTGTTAGTCTGAAGCGTTTAGGAGGTTGCGAGCAGAACAGCTCTAAGATGTTGACAAACCAACAGCTAACGATTTTTGGTGATACAATCAGAAATCGATCATAATGACACATGCATACTTCTTATTTATGTCAGTATTTTCATAAATTATTACTTAAATATTCTACCTTAGCAGAAGTGTCATGCTGAAGTTGATAAATACTCCGAAAAGATTTTGGTAAAGAAGACTGAATGCTGACGTATAACCGGAAGACGATAAAAGTAATACGGAGTGCATGGAACTACTGACATAACTAATTCACTTCGTGATTACCACTCTATTTCAGTATATTCTGTGCACTGAATAATGTAAACGATTTATGTGACGATATAAATTTTTCCTGTATTCCAGCTTCATTATTTATACTGAAACGGATTAGTCACTAAACACTTTCCGTGAACATGGATTCCTGAAGGTCTTAGTAATCATTAAAACGAAAGACTTATCGAGTTAGTTATAATGTCAGACACTGGTATCATTAAGTTGTCTTGTACATTCAAAGCTTCTGAGTATTCTTCCGTTTGTGTTGTGAAACTGTGAACTTTCAAATAAAATGAGTTGTTATAATTATTTGCTCTTAACAGCTGTACTTTTATTAATTATTAGTAATAATATACATTATTATCATCATTATTAATAACGCAGAGAGATTGGACGTAGAATAAACTTAGCGTATTTAACAGCACCTGGTCTATTCCATTCATAGAATTTAGATACATGAACATTTCAATATTGCAAAAATGTTCATTCAGACATCTATAAAAACAAAATAATCGAGCAAAGAATATTCTTTTCGATAAATTCCTCTTCCAGGCTCTACAATTATATATATGTTTTTATACACAGAATATTTTAAATTAGTAGTTATTAACAATATTAGCGTTTTTTCAAATAATATCGATTTGTAAAGTATGATCAATGCTATTGCAGTTCATTAATGATGCTTAAATTATAATAATAATAAAGATATAACAGCGGATAGAATATCAACTAAAATTAGGGAAATTTCACAAAAGTCTGGATTATTCAAACCTGGATGGCCAAGGTAATGATAATGACTGGACTAACTTCTTCTGGGTGCATAAATTAGAATATTCTTTGCTCGATTATTTTGTTTTTATAGATGTCTGAATGAACATTTTTGCAATATTGAAATCTTCTGAGCATCATTTTGCGTTAAAAGTACTCAACGAGTATTTGAAGTATAGCGCAAGGCTCGGCGAAGCAAAGACTTCTGTTGACTTTATCCACGAGTGCATTGAAACAAACCGGTACCCAAAATCTTATTGGAAATCTCTACGCCGTTGCAGAATCCGGCCTAATGATAAGACTCTTAAACGCCATGCACGAAACCAAATTGACTCAATTCAATTGAGTATTACTGAGTTATCTAAGAATGTGACAGAAAGGTTCCATGCGGTCGACGAATTACCAGAAAAACTAAAGAAACTATTTTTGGATTATGTGGAGGTAATTGTGAGCAATAGGAAAGAAAAGAAGCGCCTGAAGCTGGTACAGAGCCTAGAGAACAAGACACCAGAAACAAGATTTCCACCGAACCCAAATCGTTTTGTGTTTAATTTTTCAGATGTAATACTTAGTGATGTGGATCTACAGGTTTTATCGCTTGGCCCCAAATTTTGTGACAGCCATGTAAAAATCAACAAAATGGATGCACAAATTCAGTTCGAAAGTCTCTACACCCAAACGGAAGGCCTTACACCCTCATCAACTGAAGATGTTGAAAGATTTAAATCAACGCTGGTCGACTGCTGCTATTATTACATGAACAGTAAACGCAATTCAGATAGTATCTTAACCAAAAAACATAGAGAAGCCCTGGATACTCTCCGCAAAAATGACAACATAATAATAACAAGACCGGATAAGGGTTCAGGAGTGGTTATCTTGAACAAGGCGGATTACTTTGAGAAGATGAATACTATTCTTAATGATAATTCAAAATTCCAAAAAATCTCCTCTTCTCTGGATCCGGTTGAAAAGATAGAGATGCAGTTGGCGGAAACACTGAAAAGACTGAAACAACAAGGCTTCATCTCACAGAGTCAGTACACGTCACTTAAACCCACCGGAACGTTCACACCAAGACTATATGGCTCGCCTAAAGTGCACAAAAATGGTGTACCGCTACGACCAGTATTAGATATGCTAAATTCACCATACCATCCGGTAGCCAAATGGTTAGTTGAACTCTTACAGCCCCTTCATATTGAGTTGGTGAAACATAGTGTAAAGGATACATTTGGATTCGTTGAAAGGATAAGAGATTTAAATGTTGATAACAAATTTATGATATCATTTGACGTATCTTCTTTATTCACCAATGTACCTCTCATGGAAACAGTGGACTTTATATGTGAAGAACTCAAAAGACGAAACATCGAGATTGGCATTCCTATAGCTTTCATGAAGGAGCTTCTCTTGAAATGTACAATGAATGTCCACTTTTTATTTAATAAGGAACTGTATAGACAAATCGACGGTGTGGCAATGGGGTCGCCACTAGGACCCATTCTAGCCGACATTTTCCTGGCGAAACTAGAAAATGGGCCTTTGAAAGATGTTATTAATGAACTCGAATTTTATTGTCGATACATGGATGATACTTTTTTGATTATGAAGAACGAAAATGAGGCAAAGGACATCCTGGATAAATTTAATGAGGTACATCCTGCAATAAATTTTACTATTGAGAAAGAAAAAGACTCTAGTATTTCATTTCTAGACGTCCTTATGACCAGAAAAGAGGATGGCACAATACGAAGAAATGTTTATAGGAAACCTACATCAACCGGCCAGTACACACATTTTCTCAGCTTTGTGCCCTTGAAATACAAACGCAATCTGATAAAGTGCCTGGTCCACAGAGCAAGAGAGATTTGCTCGGATGAATGTCTTGACGAGGAGCTCAACAATATTAAACGTTTGCTAAGTGAGAATGGTTATCCGGAAAAGTTTATTGATAGGAATATGAATCTAAAACCAAAACAATCCAAGGTACCAACAGTTCCAAAGAAATCCTTGTTCTTGCAGATGCAGTTCCTAGGAGACAACACAAGTGAAATACTAACACATCGCCTCAGAAATGCGGTAAAAAGAACATTCTCTGCTGCTCAATTGCGCTGTATCTTCAAAACCACTCCTCTTCTGCGTTCGGGAATAAAAGACAAACTGCCTAATTTCGCCTCTTCCATGTGTATCTACCAATTTAACTGCTCCTGTGGAGCCAGTTACATAGGCCGTACAATTAGGCGTGTTTCTCGTCGAATTTCCGAACATCACCCTGCCTGGTTAAGCAAAGGTCAAACAAAATCTATTCGCAGTGCTATTCTGGCGCATCTTGTGGAGACAGAACACAAGATTGACGTTAATCATGCTTTCAGGGTCATTTACCGCATACCTATGAATCTCAATTTCGCTTTAAGAGTTCGACTTCTAAATATTGCGGAGGCTGTGGGGATTCATATTAATAAGCCTAATTTATGCACCCAGAAGAAGTTAGTCCAGTCATTATCATTACCTTGGCCATCCAGGTTTGAATAATCCAGACTTTTGTGAAATTTCCCTAATTTTAGTTGATATTCTATCCGCTGTTATATCTTTATTATTATTATAATTTAAGCATCATTAATGAACTGCAATAGCATTGATCATACTTTACAAATCGATATTATTTGAAAAAACGCTAATATTGTTAATAACTACTAATTTAAAATATTCTGTGTATAAAAACATATATATAATTGTAGAGCCTGGAAGAGGAATTTATCGAAAAGAATATTCTTTGCTCGATTATTTTGTTTTTATACATGAACATTTGTTGAGATTAATCAGTTCCATGTTTAGTTAACAAAGAGTGTAATGAAAAGGAATAACTTTACATGAAATAACTTGGTGTTTACCTTGACATAGATCTTTAAATATCAGATTTAAAATAAGTCACATTCCATTTTAATCCTCATATCATGTTACCAGAAGTGATGTAACAGTAAACACTTGGGATACTTCAGATTCAAAATATAGTGGATAAGCAGTTGGTGACATTTAAAAGGAAATGATGCTTTTCCTTTAAATATTATTGGATATTGTCCTATACCTCTGATCTTGCCTATTTTTGAAACCAGCTAAAATCGATGTGAACAAATTTAAACCATTGGGCAAAAGCAGAATGTTTAATATAATACGTTTAGACAACCTTGAAATCCAAACTTATGCAACCAATCAAATTAGTTATCTATTAGCTTATGTTTCCGAGGTGGATAATATTTGTGTACAATATGTTTTTATCTAATAGAAGGCGATTGTTCTGAGCGTCTCGGAGTAGCTTGTTTTCTGTCTTTATTTGTGTAGGCTCTAGGGGATCAGAAGTGACTGAAAGTTACTATTAATATTTGGTCGACAGATGAGTTACTTATAGCCTTTCCGTATGGAACCCTAGTCTCAGCATTATTATTAGTAGTGGATATTATCGAACTCAAACAGCAGTATCCTTGTCCTTCAAATCATATGTGAGTAAGGAGTTTTTCTTTAAATCAGCCCCTAAGAACTTCATACTTTGGTGGCATATGATATGAAATAAACACGGAATTTTAATCACAACTGGACAGAGTCGTAAGTGACATTGTCTTGTGAAGTGATGATTGCTGCCTTTTCAGTTCACCAGATCGCCATTACAACTGCAGTTTTGAACTTATTAAAAGTCTGAATTGATGTCAGATAGGTTTCACAGGTGCTACTAAATAACTTAACGAATTTGGAAACAAGTTTGGATGCACTGTCTAATGTTGTGACCTCTTTTTTGTCTGCACATTAGTATGTGTACTGCCTATAGGAAGTTACTTGGTGAGGGGATAACTAGTTCATTTATGAATCCTGTAACTTCAGAATTATGTGATGCAGCTAAGAGTGTTTGAAGAAAGAATTGTTGTTTGGGCTGGAGGTTAATTTGTTTTTCCTGAACACTACGACTATTCATTCTGTGCCTTCAATGATCCTATTTGATTTTTCAAATCATTCATCATAATCTTGCACATCATGTGCATTCTCATGTTTTTTATTGCATTTTTATTAGTCCCTACCATTTATGAACGTGCTTCTGTGGTTCAGCCGTAGAATGCTAGCTCGGGGTTCGATTCTTGGCGGATACATTCCTAAACCTTGTTTAGCTGCTAGTAAGCCCTATGAATAGGGAAGGCTGGGCTTAAAACTACCAGTTCCACACTTTAAAAAAAGAATAATACCACTACTACTGAAATTTCAAAGCCTGAAGCCCCATGTTCCACTGGGAAAGCGATGGAATAAAATAACAAAACGAAAAATTCATGAACATAGGGATTATCTGGTAATGAGAATCAAATAATGATGATTTAATCTCATCTGTCCTTTCTTTAATTTAAATACCAAATACTTAGTACATCCTGACTAAGAAATTTTGAATCTCTAAGATGACCGTCTTCCCTGTAAAAATAAAACTTGACACTTTGGTAAAGTACAATTCCAACTGAGATCCAATATCGTTTTGAGCACAATTAACTGGTCATAATCATATCACATCACTGTAATATAGTTATGGGTAATAAATCGCACTAGTAACATCATCCAGTAAGTAGCATTCTGTCACTGTACACTGTGTCAGAAAAATTACTTCATCAGTATTTTTTTTCTGAAATTCTTCTCTATAAATCACATATACAATAAAGTTGCATTATCAGGTTTATCCGAGATGTACAAACACAAAACATGAAAATATATATGAACTCACTTTATTAGCGACAAACATTGTTACACCGTACTAATAATTCCTAGAATTACAAATATATGTGTATGTGCAAACCGTGTAGATTCAGGCGTTCTGAAATTTACACAGTAATTTATACTTTCTTAGGTAGGAAAAACCACAGACCGATAAAAAAACAGTAGTGACAATAATAATAATAATAATAACGATAAAACACCGGAAGTGACTGAATTGACAATGCAAACAACAATAATGAGGGTTAATTAGATAAATTGTTATTATTATTATTATTGTCATCTTGCTTCATTCAAATATTGTCGTCTGGTTGTAATAGTGCAGTGTATTGGTGTTTACATAATCATCTATGAACTTATCATGCGTAGGTTGATATTGGATCAAATAATGTGTGTGTTTGCATGTACTTGAAAATATACTTTATAACGAGGTTGTTATTTAACAACAGAATTAATCACAGTTAAAAAGTTTAGACCAGATTCAATTACCATCTTAAAACTCTCATAATTATTTATTATTCTTTTTTAATTATGATGATTTATACTAGAAGTTGCGTCGGCCGGGAATTGAACCGCGGACCGTCGGTGGCATAGCGGTTAGGACGCTCGCCGACCATGCACATGGTCCGGGGTTCGATCACCGGCCGACGCACTTCTTTACCTCGCTAAGCCAGAAATAATGCTGGTGAAGAGGAAAGGTTGGGCATGAGGCTAGCAACCCCATCCTGTAAAATAAACACTGCTACAGAAACTTCAAGCCACTGGCTTGAAGCCCTATCTTCCACTGGGGGACGTGAAGGAAAAAAATACTAGAAGTTAGTAATTAACTAAACACACAAATAAAAACCAGTAACTATTACAACCTGACCAGCACTGACAGACTGAAAAGAACTTCAACTGTTAGATTTCCATCACTTACCAATATCAGTTAGAGAGATCATTGAAAACTAGGGAGCACTGGATGGTTGTTTCGTCCTGTTTTAGTGCTGTTCATCAGTGCACGCTCACGACCTCGCCAAGGATCCAGCCTGGGATCTTCAAGTTATAACACCAAGCTAGTGGACCATCCAAAATCCCCATAAATCCTATAATCTGTATATCAATCTGCAGCTCACTGTTGGCCACTGGGTGGATTTCCTGAAGCTGAAATGAGAAGTCATGATCAGTGGGTGAGGTCCACCATTTCAAGGTGAAGTTAAAATGCTCATTGAAGGCATTGGTGAGGCGAGCTCCATATCACGAGTTAACAAATTTAGAATACAGAGGCCATCAGATTCTAGCCCAATTGGCTCAATGGTCAAAGAACATGGTTCCGTTCGGTTTCCAGCATGATACTGGGTGCCCACTGCTAAAAAGTACCAAAACAGGATGAAACGACTATCTGGTGCCCCCTAGTTTCCAATGATCTCTCTAGGTGATGTTGGTTCGTAATGAAAGTTTAACAGTTGAAATTAAACCAAAATCCCAATAAATCCTATAATCGGAATACAAATAACTTATTTTGAAATTCATTAATGGGAATTATTTCGCAGTTTCACGTTTTATTATAATCATAGTATAGTTATGGTTGGAATACTAGTCTGCGGTTAAACACCCTTCTGAGGCCTCTCAGATTCCCATAGTTCGTTTATTGACTAGGTTTCCGTGTGCATGAGGAAATATACTTTATTTTGAATGTCCTAGCTTGAAAACTATTGTTACTATTTTTGAATATGCCACAGACTGCTTAATAACCCGCACCCACGACCCCACCAAGAGTCGAACACAGGAGCTGAGCCCTTTGACAATTTGACCACTGAATTGGAATTCGGTGGCTTGTGAATTTAACTTCTGTCAATTAGCAGTATATCGCTACTGTCACCATTGATGAGTATCAGCTGCCCATCCAATGTGGTAAACCTAAATGGCTACGATTTGTCGCTGTGACATCATGATATTTCGAGTCAGAGGCTCTTTTCAGCGAATTCCTTTTCTTTAGTTTTACAATTACATTCATATAGACTGTTTAAATGAAACAAAGTAGTAACAGAAGCGATGAGTTTTTATCATCATAACTACTAATATTAGTTAGGGCATAAGAGGAGCTGAACAAGTATATTAGGGTTGCGTAATAATATTAGCAATAACGGTAATACTAAGATTATGAAAACTCATCACTTTTGTTACCACTCTCTTTCATGAGAAAAGTGTATACGAATGTAATTGTATAACTAAAGAAAATGAATTTGGTAAAGGCAGTCTTTTCTCTGAACTACTTATTTTGTTATTTCATTAATACCTGGATGGGATGATTCAAGAATCATGACGCTTATCGTGATGAAACAGCTGTCCAGTGCTCCTTGGTTTTCGCCTATTATCTAACTGATATCAGTTGGTAGTGAATTCTACCTTCAAGTCCCAATAAATCCCAAATGTGCATATTATTTCTATTGTTATTCTATTGTTAAATTTTCCTCTGGTTTACTTCTGTATCGACTTTTCCTAACTCATTTATGTACTAGTGTTTTTCTTTGTTTCAGATTCCTTAATATTACAACATTTTCTATCGTTCGACTGTTGATTTTCATAGTGTAATGGCAGTAGACAAGAGACTTGGTAAAAGAATGTTTATATAGAATTTGATATATCTATGTAGGGAAATTATGTTCACCTTATCTGAAAATCGTCATTTACACAGATCTTCCGTGTTGTGCTGTAACGACGGAAGGCAAGAGTTAGGCAACAGACCGTTTATTAAGGAAATCAACACATATTTATAGATTTTCAAATACATTATTATAGATTATTAGTAGTAGACAAACACAGTCTCCTGATTGGTTGTTTCTCACTAAAAGTTAATCTTTCATCTCTTTGTGACTGTTTCTTGAATGTCAGATCATCTATCTGCTAATTGTATCCGCCTACGCATAGTCTGCTGTCAGTCTTTGATCTTGTTTTCACGTGACTAATATTTGGGACATAAACATTAACGTAAATTACTGTCTACCAATTTGGCTAGCAGTCAGCTCTCACCACAGTGCTACTTCTACACTTCGTATTGTGTTTCCTTGTCTTGTTTTTGTCTCTCCCATGTTTTGCCGCAACTCTAATTCATTGCCTTTCCTAGATTTCAAATTTACGTCTCGGCTATTTCACAAACGATTGCCAATGAATGTCCCCTTATATACTACTGTCAATTATTGTCAGTAGCATAGTGCACGAAAGCAATAGAGAACATAATTAATTGTCACGATATCCGACACGTATAAGCCATCAAATCAGAACGAGATATTTTTATAACATTCACCATGTAAGACCAGATACATTCGGATTTAATAAAATAGATTATGACAGAAGATGAAACCAAAAAATGTCCAACGAAGATAACACGCGCACGCATACGCACACAAGCGCGCTCTGCTTTACTCGGTAAGTAGGTTGACCATCGGTCGGTCGGTCGGTCGTACGACCTGTCGTCCATCGAACGGACAGCGTACTGTATTGACAATGTATGTGAGGGTGGAATGATGCTTTAGTGGTGTGCTTTGCGTATGTTGTCTGACCCCGGGATTGAGTGAGGTGTGTTTTTGATGATAAGAAGCACTCCCGCGCCGGGAGTCGAACCCGGGCCGCCTGGGTGAGAGCCAGGAATCCTAACCGCTAGACCACGCGGGACATCCAGTTCTAGCCACTACCACAACCACAACCACCAACACTAACACCACTAACAGCAACGCCATCACTATCACCATCACCATAAACACCAGCACCAACACCAACACCAACACCAACACCACCACCAACAACAACAACAACACCATCAACACACTGATCCAACGACATCAAATACTCATCAACAAATTCACATACTTCTTCTACAACCAAACACATTCACCTACACAATCATCTCAAACCGCTACCCAGACACACATCTTCCTGCTCTTCCCCTCTCTTATATTCTCCCCCTTCTTATATTCGCGCAAAAACACGCACTCACACTCCCTTCTTCTCCTCACTCAATGTCTCAGTCTCTTATCGTTTTCTTACGATTCTTTCACTCCACTCGACCACATACACTACTGACATCGCGTCACCATCATTGTCATCTTCACTGTCATCCTCACCGTCGACGTGCAGGTCGACTTCAACGTCGGCCTTCGACACTACGTCCATGTGCATATCTTTTGTCTTCGTGATTGTGTCTGTCAGTGACTGTGTGTGCGTGCATGTGTTTGTGTGGTTGTGCCTGGTTGTGTGTGTGTGTGATTGTGTCTGTCTGTCTGTAGCGCTTGCTGTCTTGTGTTGGGAATGTGTTGTTTGTGTTTGACACAGACTCCACTCCGGTGTGAGTGTTTGTCGTGAGAATTCGTGGTTGAGTAATTCAGTGTTGAATGATTGTTAGTTGTTCGTTTGTGTTTGTGTTATGCGAGTGTGTGATGGTGAATGCTTGAGGAGGTGTAATAGTCGGGGGTATAGCTCAGTGGTAGAGCATTCGACTGCAGATCGAGAGGTCCCCGGTTCAAACCCGGGTGCCCCCTTCACTTTTCAACTCACACAAACAAACACACATCACTAATTGCACACAGACAAACTCCAGTCACTCACCACATGGTCGATACGAGATCACCCACAAAATTTACTGCTAAAGGAACACACGCGAAGACAATACAATACAATACAATACAACACAACACAGTCCAATCCACTATCAATTCAACATACACCTGTCTCCACCTCGAACTCTTCACGACCAAGCAATGCCTCAACTGGAATCGTCGGCAAAACAATGTCCAACGGAGGTTACACGCGCACGCATACGCACACAAGCGCGCTCTGCTTTACTCGGTAAGTAGGTTGACCATCGGTCGGTCGGTCGGTCGTTCGACCTGTCGTCCATCGACCGGACAGCGTACTGTATTGACAATGTATGTGAGGGTGGAATGATGCTTTAGTGGTGTGCTTTGCGTATGTTGTCTGACCCCGGGATTGAGTGAGGTGTGTTTTTGATGATAAGAAGCACTCCCGCGCCGGGAGTCGAACCCGGGCCGCCTGGGTGAGAGCCAGGAATCCTAACCGCTAGACCACGCGGGACATCCAGTTCTAGCCACTACCACAACCACAACCACCAACACAAACACCACTAACACCACTAACAGCAACGCCATCACTATCACCATCACCATAACACACCAACACCAACACCAACACCAACACCAACACCACCAACACCAACAACAACAACAACACCATCA